CTCAACTCAAATTATTTTCATGTTAGTACCTTCAAACAGACTAGAAGGGACAATTGCTATTATAATGTTACCTGTTAAATTCAGGGTACTTATTATAGTTTTTTTTTGCATTTTTTATTAATTTTAGTTGCGCTTTGTCAGTCTTGTTTGAAGTCGGTTCAACTTTTTTTTTAAAGGTTTTATTTAAAAACAATAACTGCAATATGGATCACGCATACCTCACATCCAAATCCTCAAAGGAGTAGACAGTGGTGTATTGAACGTCTTTTGTCGACTATAATTTAATCCCATTCACACAATAGAAAGCCTATACCGTCAATCGGGAACTCGAGGAAAAAAAAGGAAAATTTTAAAAGAAGCTAGTTTTTATGTTAGAAAATGTAATCTCTCGAGACGGTCAGAATCGTATACGTGTAACTCGAAATAGATGTCAGGAATTCAGAGGTTTATATTGAAATGTTGAGAGCGTATTTAATAAAGAAAACATAAGCTCCAACTAATAAATATATCGATCAATAAGTAAAACTTTATGTAGCGTTTTCTCTACCCAACGCAATATATCTGTCTATAAGGCGTAACATGAATCACCTTACATCCCTTTGGCATCCCAATCATGTAGCAATAACTTGGGGTGTATTGGATTTGCGCCGGCAATGACCGTCGCGCGCCACGGCCCACTTAATGTTATTGTTTGTTAAGATATACCGATATTGTAATCTATTGCGTGTGCACGAACGCTTCTATATTGCTGTGTGTACATGTATTTATGTCGGGGATTTAGGTTAGAATTATGTTTTAACATAATATGTGTTCTGTATTAGTTTGTCGCATCTTTTGAACCGGAATTGGTGCTGTGTTTGAACAACATGTATGTATGTTTTTATGTTTTGTAACGTCTAACAAACAAATAGATTTGTGTGTATATTTATGTGTATACGTATGTATTAAGTGTACCCACAATTTTCTTAATAAATTTTCATAATTCTTTCACTTTCGTTAACATCTTTTTATTTACTGTTTTAAACGTGTTTGAAAAACGAATTCTTTTGAAAAAGTTCGCTCGTAAGACGGTTTCAAGTATTTTGATGCAATCATCAGAATACTACTACAAGTATGATAATAATTTCTTGTATTCTTAGTTCCATTGCTTATGTAGAAGATAAATATGTCATATAAATAAGTTGCAGCCCTAAAAAGCCCACCAACAGTCTTTCTACAGAACTTCGATATCGCCTAGTACTTGCGGAGGTTTGATGGCAATCTGTTTGGTCTAAAAAAATCGAAGTTCAGCCGTTTCGTAGTGGACTTAAAGCCAACAACAACGTAGCTTGAAATGAGCCTGTTTTTAGAGAAACTGAACTGGGATATAGGTTTCTCTAAATACCTGGGCTGAGAATGCCTTATGTTATTGGAATTTAGTCCCAGCACTCGACACATCGGTATTGGTTGTGGGGTCCATGTTCCAATTAAATTTGTCCAATTTACACTCAAGAAAGAAAGAAGAAAGTCCTTATGCGTCGAGGAAAGGTTAGCTGGTGAGCCAACAAAGCTCCTTCCAGAAGCGTAGGCCTCCTGTGGAGTAAACAAGTTTCTAGGAGCGATTTTGTATCAGGTATGATACTTGGCCGTTGTGTAGCCACTCTCTCGCATTCCAGGATTACGTGTGCGGCCATTACTTCTGCTTTTAGACATTCTCTGCAAAGAGGGCTGTCCGTCGCAATAAAGGTGAATAGTTGTCGGTTCAGGGCTAGGTGTCTAGCCTTGAACCCTGTTATAGTTCCTCCCACTATACTACAATTGTACTAATTGAAGGGAGGAATTTTAAAACAGATATATTATTTGTAGAGTCTTTTAGGGCTAGACAGTCATAAGTGTAATTTTAACTAATTACTAAACCAATTTGACATCATCTTCTTTTTTAAAGAGTCCTCTCTCTCACTACAAATATATCCTAAGTAGCTGCGGACTTTACAAACATACATGAAACGAACACAAAGAACATCCAGACTCAGAACAACAAGTTGTTGATATACAACACTCAGCGCAGTAGGAAATGATCAGGTGACCACTTAAACCACTACTCCATCCGTGGAGTCAAGTGTTTTAATAAGCCTATAGCGTTAATTTCATTTGATCTACTTCTACAATTATCTACTATTTTGCATTGGATTACTATGGATCAATATGGATTAGTATGGATTAGTATGAATTAGTATGGATTAGTGTGAATTAGTATGTATTAGTATGGATTAGTATGTATGAGTAGGGATCAGTATGAATTAGTATGGCTTAGTATGAATTAGTATGCATTAGTATGGATTAGTATGGATTAGTATAGATTAGTATATATTTCTAATAATAATAAATAATAATAACAATATTGTACCACATTCACACAACGCCATCTAGTCCCAAACTAAGCAGAGAAAGCTAACTAAATACACATATATTATACATAGAAACGCCCAGACCAAATCAAACATTAAATGTTCATGCACACAAATGTTTGACTTGAGCGGGAATCGAACCCGACCTTTGGAATAGCAGTCCGTTACACAAACCACTACGCCATTCGGTCGTATGAAATTCTATTTTTTCTATTAGTCGTATTTCTAAATACATACATATAGATAAACCTAATTTCTTTCAGAATATTATCATTACACAACATAAAATTAACCATATTCACTCTTTGTGTAAAGTAGTAGAAGTACCTACTTAGTCGAAGTAGCTCCTATCAGCTGTTAAATCATCTAAATATCACATTTACCAACGTTATCAGAAATTTATACCACTCGAGATAAGTGAGGGACGCTGGACGGTGTCCGACCGCCTTTTTTACGAACCTGCTTTTATGAATAAAATATGTAGCGTGTAGTAAGTAGTTTTTGTGGAGCGTGTAACACAACACTTGTGGCCGTTACTCTGCTAGCTTCGAAATTATTCATATTTGGAATAATATTTTGGTAATGTTCTTAAAGTTTACTTTATTGTTACTGGTAACAGGACGGTCGTTTTTTTTTTAATTTAAACGTGATGCAGAGTGCATAAGTCATAATGCCAAAAAAAACTATTAAAATTGATGCAGAAATAGGAAAAAGAAAGTGTATTCCAGGCAAGCTGAAAAATGTAAGTTGCTAAGTGACGCTGTCTATGCTTTAGAAGTATTATTATCAGTTTAAAAAAAAAAACACCAATCCTGGAAAGATCAATTTTTGACATGCATAGTGAACGTTTATCCTTTATTTAGTTAACTTTTTGTACGTTACGAGTATAGGGTTTGATATCGAGTCCACGGATCATCTTATGATAAGTGACTAGCGCAGTCCACAGACATCTACATGACGACCGAATGGCGTAGTGGTTTGTGTAACGGACTGCTCTTCCAAAGGTCGCGGGTTCGATTCCCGCTCAAGTCAAACATTTGTGTGCATGAACATTTAATGTTTGATTTGGTCTGGGTTTTTCCATGTATAGTAAGTATGTATTTACAAAAAAAAGTATATGTATATTTATATCAGTTGTCTAGTACCCATAGTACAAGCTCTGCTTAGTTTGGGACTAGATGGCGTTGTGTGAATGTGGTACAATATTATTATTATTATTATTATCTACAACTTAAGAGTTAAAAATGCATTGCAGCCCCTTTCAGCCATTTAGCCAACCCATTAATTGAGCTTCAATGGCCTCACTAATTCGTTGAAAAGCAAAGTAAGAACTGCTTAAAACAGGTTTTCTGTGAGGTCGTAGTATAACTACGGTCTAGCCGGCCCATTTCGACTGCCGTGGTGGTGCAGTGGTAGAGTATGCGACTGCTGTGTTGAGATCTCGGGTTCAATTTCCAGGTCTAGCAAAAGTTTTTGTATGATGTGCAAATGTTTGTTTCGGAGTTTGGATGTTTTCTCTGTCTTATATGTTTGTATTTACAAAAAAATACATAAGTATTCTATCAGTAAATTTAGCTTTAATAGTACAAGCTCTGCTGCTGCTCTTAGTTTGAAACTAGATGGCGTTGTGTATCAGAACTCCGAAAATACTACTACTGAATACTATTTTGGCCGACGCAATACTATATACAGTACAATCATTTCTGTGCTAATATCTAAGTATGTTTACCCGTAGTCTCATTACTATAGCTACAGGTATTACAATTTGGAATCAGAAGGCCGTGTGTGAGGTGTCTTTGATTTCTATTATTAGATGTCGACACAATTTATGAACTCCTAGAGTACCTTTTAACGGATTGGATTAAATTTTTATGAAAATATCTTAAAGGCTTCAAAGCTCTTGAACAGTTTCATTTTAAACGACTTACGAGAAGCTTAGAATACTTAAGGCGAGGATAAGTTTTATCGTACATTTATTGCTGGTATATTTCTTACTCTTAGTCCTTGACAAGATAAAAATATTGCCTCTTTGAAACAATACCTACTATATTATTACTGTATTTTTTGTACTATATTTTAACTTAAAGAGTAGGTAAAAACTCGACTAAACGAGTTTTTTTTTTCATTTAAAAATCATCGTACAGATATTTATTTATCGAAATTTGAAGTGTTTTGTGCATTCATTATTAAAATAGTTATGGTAATTTTTTAATTAGCTAGTCAGTTGGTCTAAACGCTAGAGATCACAACTTCTGACTGGGCCGGCCAGTCCGACATTTTCAGATATCTACGTGACCCGTAAGAAAGAAAGGATGATTACCCTTGAGTGCGAAATATTAAAAGTATAGCAAGGAGATTGTCTGTCATGTAGTCAAAATAATAATAAATATTTAGTCTTATGTTCGGTCTAAAACAATCTAATTTATCAATCTTTAACATCACAACAGCATCTCGGCAAAACATCTTATCTCTATTATATAAGCGTTTTATCTAAAAAAAGACACCTCCTGATATAAAAACAGATAACGTGATACATTATTAATAAATCAGTCTGGTTTCCAAACAAAGGAGAACACGTCTTAATAAAAAAAGTGCTGTGATATTGTTTTAAATATGAAATTGGTACAATTCGTTAACAAAAATAATCCCGAAGAAATTCGCGCAGGATATTTAGTGGACGACAATGTTGTAGACATCAATAAAGCTGACCCAACAATACCAAGCACCATCATAGAAATCTTGAAGAATGGAGATATTGATAAAGTGAAAAAACTCCAAGATGGTGATCAAAACTCTGAACCAATATCATCAGTAACTATTAAAGCACCTATACATGGCAATGACAAAGTACTATGCGTGGGATTAAATTACAAGGATCATTGTATAGAACAGAACTTTCCTGCACCAGATATCCCCTTTATATTCAACAAATTCCCAAGCACTGTTATCGGACAAGATGTACCAGTGAAACTAAAGCCGGACGTTTCTGGCAAAGTCGTTTGTGAAGTTGAACTAACAATAGTAATTGGAAAGACTGCAAGCAAAGTGAAGGCATCTGATGCATATGACTATATTTTAGGCTATACTATTGCCCAAGACATTGGAGCTACTGATTGGCAGAACAATAAAGCTTTGGGTCAACTATTACTTGGTAAAGCTATGGATACTTTTTGTCCAGTAGGACCTTGTATCGCAACTAGTGATGAGATTGACAACCCCCAGGCGTTGAATATCAGTTGTATCGTGAATGGTGTCCAGAAGCAGAAGAGTAACACAAATCAGTTTATTCATAAAATTCCAGAAATTATTGAAAGGTTGTCCAACGTGTTCACCTTACTGCCTGGTGATATCATATTGACAGGTACTCCAGGTGGTGTAGGTCTGTATAGAAATCCTCCGGAATTTCTTCAAGCTGGTGATGTGATTGCGAGCGAGATTGAGAAGATTGGAGTTTTAATTACCAGAGTCGAAAATTTTTAAGAATTCTTTTCTTAAGGAATGTTTTTCATTTGTTTCAATAGGTAATTTAAATTTATTCTTAAATATGTTATATCTTTGTTGATTTTTGAAAATATGTACTGGAAAGATATTAAAGACTTGATATATTTGGCTTTTATTTATTGTATACTGAAATAGTTCAACAAAACTTCACGTTGAAGTCACTGGTGAAGTGGGAGTGCTTTGACACAGATGAGCCCGACCGGAGTGATTTCATGACATCACATAAAATCGGTGTGAAATAGTTTATACAGTAACCCATGCTCTAACATCGAATCGGGCAGGTACACTTAAAGGGTGGCAACGCAACTCGTGTTTCTTGGGTTGCAGATGTCTATAGGCGGCGGTAGTCACTTACCGTCACATGAACCTCATCCTTTGATTTTATAATATTTTCGAACATCTTACACACAATTCCATCTAGTTTCAAACTAAGTAGAGCTTGTACTATGAAAGCTAGATTGACTGATAGAATACTTATATACCTTTTGTTGTGTATGTACAAGTGTACAAGTGTGCGTTGTTCGCCGCGCGAGCCGTATCTATGTGTGCGTGCCTGCACCTGCACCTACCTACTTGCATTTCGTAGAAAACAGTATTATTTTATAAGTCAGTAATAAACGTGTTGTTTACTTTTCTATCCACCGGTCAAATACATATCACCTTTGTTTTGTAAATACGTAACATTTGAAACAAATATTTGTAGATCATACAAACATTTGGTCCGACCCGGGCATTGAACCCGAGATCTCAGCACAGCAGTTGCATACACTACCACTGCACCACCGAATCAGTAATTTGCCCACTATATGATAAAACAAAACATTTAGGGTTTTTAAATCTTAATACCTACTGGTCAAAAACGTCTATAAATCTAAGTATATTATAACTTTACATCAATAAGGAACGGCAACTCTCCCACTTTTTAAGCAGTTAGATTAGCACAATTTGCTAAATTATCAACAACAATCAGTCAACATCAACGGATCCTGATAATGAATGGCAAGCAGTACCCTTAATGAGCTAATTTTGTGATGTTTAGTGAAAATCGAACAACTAATTACAATTATATTGATTAAGTACACTGGTGTTTTTTTTACATGGCTAAATTAAGATGGGGACTAATTGGAACCTCAACAATGGAAAAACATAATAAGCTATTATGCCGCTTTTATAGATTTGGAAAATAACAATAATTTGCGATCGTTATTGCTTCTGAGAAGCTTGATAGCTGAGAAAAAATGAATATACCACATCATCAACAGCCTTTAATAGTCCTCTGCTGGACATAGGCCTCTCCTTAGAAAGGAGGTTTTGGTCTACTGTACCACGCTGACCAGACGGGTTGGTATAGGGTTTAGGGGTGCTAGGCTAGAAAACCTCCCCGTGGTGCACCCTGGAAACGCTGGCGATGGCACTGTTTCCTCCTTGTCCTCTTGGAGGAGAGGATTATCGCCAGCGGCCAATATTCTAGCAGAAGAGGAGGCCGTTCATCGGCTCTCGGGCAAGGCCTGGTCCAGCAGGGTGGGCGTGTCTGCCGGTTGCCCTGCTGGCTCTTCGCTCTTCGGAGCATGGAGGAGGAAACCTCGGTAAAAAACCTGATGGCGGGGCCCTGTAGGGGCCACAGTTTCTCCGCTGATAGCGGTGGAGAAAGGAGGACGGGCTCGGCGTGTACTGACACTACCACCGAGCAGGCAGGGGGACGTAGTCTCCCTGTCAACCGTCGGCATATCGCAATCCCGAGAAGAGCGCTGTGGTTAAGTCTCGCGGCTCTGATCGGGGGCGAGGGTCTTGGCTTAACCGCCCGGACCGCGAGGAAGATAACCTCTCTAAAAAATTCCCCGAATCCCGTGTTCTGGTGCGTGGCCAGGGGATGCATGGCTGATGGGAAGTTCAGTCTCGAGCGCACTCCAAGCCGAGGTACCTGCGGACCCCTCGGTTGGGTTAAAAACTTACGCTTGCCCGGGTAATGGGGGATCTCTGCCCGGACCTTTAGTTCTCCCCCACTCGTGGGATCAATTATGGACAATAATCAAAATAACACAAAGAAAACGATCGGAACAAAACAACAACAAAAGGCAAGCAAAACGGACACTGCAACGAAAGGTGCAAGGGAGAAGAGGAACAGTGGAGTCGATGGGTCGTCCACTGAGGGTGAGGTGGCGTCGGGAACGCCCATCTCGGTGGGGCTCCCAGAAGTCAGTCTGACTCAGATCTCTGGGAGCCGAAGAGCATCGGATCGGCTGCGTTCCGGATCCGCCGCTTCGTCGGATGGCGTGGAGGCCATGGAAGCGGAACATCGCAGCGACAGCCGAAAACGCGGACGCTCAGGGGACGTGGAAACCGACACGTCCCAGGAAATGATGCCACCAAAGGTGGCAAGCAGCCGCCGAGGGAGGGCACGCAAAACGGCCCCGGTCTCGACCCCGTCAGGCTCCGCGTTCTCAAACGCGGAGTCGTACAGAAGTGTACGGGTGGACGGCGAGGCCGTAGCGGAGGAGGAGATCGCGGATCTCCTGCTCAAGGTTCGGGAGCCGGTGGGGGGAAATGCCCCCCAGGCTCCCGTGTCCGTGCAGGAGAGGGCGAAAGCGGCGGTGGCCGTCATTCACAAGGTGGCCACCAAGTCCGTGAACCTTAAGGGCTCATTTGTGAGGGCCCTTAAGGACTCCTCCTCCGCTTTGTCGGAGGTCGTGGAGGGCCTAGTGGGCGATGTGTCTCGCCGGCAGTTGGCCAACGAGAGGCTAACGGAGCGGGTGAACGAGCTGAGCGCTCAGTTCGCCCGCTTCCAGGCGAACCTCCCTGAGCGGGAAGCCCCGTCCGCGTCCCAGCCTGCCCCTACCACCAACTCAGGGGCATTTGACTCCCAACTGCGAGAAATCCTCATCGCAGTTGGGAATATGCTGGACGGACGCCTGGCTGGCCTGGAGGCGAGACTGCCCCCTGCGCCGATTGTGCGCCCCCCGCTCGCGTCGGCACAGCGGCCTAAGGCCGCCGCTCCGACCGCGCTCCCCGTAGTGGGAGGCCGCGTCTCCTACGCGGCGGCGGCGTCTGCCCCGACTCCATCGGCTCCCCAAAAGCCGAGGAGGGGGGCCAAGGCACCGGCCCAGGCGCCGGCCAAGGCACCGTCCCAAAGTGCCGGCCAAGACGGGGCCTAAAACGGCGCCGAGGAGCGGAGTGGCATTCCCTCCGCTCCCCACTCCGACACCCCTGCCGGGCCCCTCCGCACCTGCCCCCTCCAACGAGGGCTGGCAGGAGGCGAGGGGCTCCAAGAAGTCCCGAAGGCGGCCAGAAGGGCTGCCCAAAAAGCAGCCCAAGCCCAGCCTTCGCCACCGGTGGCAACGGCCTCTGCAAAGAGGCCGCGGAAGCTGCAGCCGCCCAAAACCGCGGCTGTAGTGGTGACCGTGTCCCCGGAGGCGGCTAACGGCGGGTTGTCCTACGCGGCCGTTTTTAAAAAGGCCCGGTACAGCCTCGCCAACGACTTTGGGACGGTGGGGGTCAAGATGCGCCTCGCCTAAACGGGAGCTCGAGTTCTCGAGTTCCCAGGGGCTGAAGGCGCCAAGACGGCGGACACTTTCGCTGAGAGGCTGCGGGGTTTATTTGCCACCACAGATGGTGTCAAGATCGCCAGGCCTACCAAGTGCGCGGAGCTGCGCATCTCGGGCCTGGACGACTCTGTGACGGCCGAAGATGTCCGCGCTGTAATCCGGGAGAAGACGGGGTGCAGCGCGGACAACGTCAGGGTCGGCACCATCCGCCCCGGTCCAGGGGGGCTTGGCGCCGTGTGGGTCAGCTGTCCCGTAGCGTCGGCCAAAGTATTGGCCGACGCCGGCAGGCTGCTCATCGGTTTCGTGAGCGCTAGGATCACAGTCCTGGCGGCGAGACCGATGAGGTGTTACAAATGCCTAGCATCGGGGCACACGCGCGTCAAGTGCCAAAGCTGCTTCGACTGCAGCGGACTATGTTTCCGCTGTGGTCGACCGGGGCATGTGGCGGTGGAATGCTCTGCCGCCCCTCACTGTCCGTTGTGTGCGGCGGGTAACAAGCCCGCCAATCACCAGATGGGGCAGGGGTGCTGCAAGCCTCCCCGCAACTCTCAGCAAGCATCGGGGGCTAGCCAGTCGACCCAGGCTGCCTCCGATGTAGTTCGTGCGTCGACGTCGTCGCCCATGGAGGAGGCTGTAGAGACGATCCAGTAATGGATCGGGTCTCCAGCCTCCTGGTCCAGACGAACCTGAACCACTGTGCTGCGGCGCAGGATCTCTTCCTGCAAACCATGGCACAGTGGTCGATAGGTGTTGCCGTAGTCGCGGAGCCCTATTCTGTCCCTCCCCGTCCAAACTGGATGGGTGACTGGGACGGCTCCGTGGCAGTCGTCGGTTCCACGACGGCTCATTCCCCGCCCTTGTCGCTAAGAGACAAGGGCACTGGATATGTTGCCGTCGAGTGGGGGGGGATCACCATATATGGTGTTTATTTCTCCCCCAACCGGAGTTTGAACGACTTCGAGGTTTTCCTAACCAGCTTGGAGACCTCGATACGGCGACTAGCGTCTGGGCACGTCCTTGTGCTGGGGGACTTCAACGCAAAGTCCATTGCGTGGGGTTCCCCCAGGACGGACGCCAGGGGCGAGGCCGTAGAGGAGTGGGCGGCCTCGGTGGGCCTCTGTCTTCTAAACAGAGGCTCCACCAACACGTGCGTGCGACAGCAGGGGGGGTCGATAGTGGACCTCTCGTTCGCTACCCCTGCCCTCGCCGCACGAGTAAGGAACTGGCGTGTCCTGGAAGAGGTTGAGACGCTCTCGGATCACCTGTATATCCGATTTGAGATCTCCCGGACCCAGGACTCCAGTAGGGGTCACGTGGCGCGGCGTTTATCCCGCTTTCCGCGGTGGGCTGTTGCCAGACTGAACCGGGACCTACTAGAGGAGGCAGCCATAATTCACTCGTGGCTGTCTCCTCAGGCTCCGACCGAGGAGGTCGACG